TTATGGCATGGTTTTTCTTACCAATGTGCACATAACCAAAGACTATTTCACAAGTTATGTTTAGCTGGCAGCTAAATTGCAAAGAGTAAATTGAATATTTGAAAGTACATATGGAATTGTCAAGGCTATTCTAATAGGGCTGGTTACAATGCAAATTCCTTTTGTCATTCTACTATGCATGATATGCCCACTAACTTTGCTTATAACAATAGCATCAACATATTTAGAAACAGATTTTATTTACTATTATATGAGACACAAGAAAGATAAGGTTATTGCTTTGACATGATGACATCCAACAAATCTTTTATCGCTTTTCCGGTTTTCGCAGAATTTTTATTTTACTGCTGTCCACAACTTCTAAGAAATAGCTGTTGGAACTTATTACGGTATTCCCTTTCCTTGTTACAGGTCCTTCCATCACGAACTCATCCACACATGCAAATGAATGCATTTGGTGGTTATATTTTGAGTGGCATTAGGATACACAATGGCGATGCATGTAATGGAAGCAAGTGAATGACCAAGCCCGTCAATGCGTGCTTCTATCCTTGGAATTAAAATATGGTCACCATTTTACACGGTAACCTGAAACAATAGACACAATTTTGTAGTCCAGAGAAGCCAACTTTTATGCTGAAGCGACTTATGTGATTAGTAGAAATTGGTGCGCATATAGAGAATAACTAGTGCGAGTTCTAGAAGAAAATGAAATGAGCATGTACACCAAATCCATGTAGCTTACATAACAATGTTGTGTTTGTTTATCAACCAAATTGAAACGCTTGTGGACTTTGAGATATTTGTTAAGGTGTGCTACTTACTATTTGTTAACTAACTGGTGTGCTTCAGAATCCTGTTCTATTAACTACTCAAATAAGGGGAAATGGAAAGTTATGGTATATCCCTAATGCCCTCGTTTTCCTTGTTTCTAATATTTATATTGATGAAGGCTTAGATTAGGTCATAATACTACATCATTTTTAAAATGTATGACATCGTTGACTTTTCTCATAACATTTGATCATTCATCTTATTAAAAAAACTTAGGATAAATATGTAAAACTATATGTCAACATCATATTTTATCTGATGATAATATGTGTCACAACAAAATGAATGATATTTTTCTCTAAAAAGAGAATGATATTTATATAAATTTCATATAATTTTTTTAAATAAAATGAATAGTCAAACTTTATAGGAAAAGTTAACGACTTTGTATATTTATTTGTTTGGCAACTTGCCTGGGACAGCATAAGTTTGGTTAGATCTACGTGAGTTACTAGAAAAAATTGCCAAATTGTTCCATTATTCTGGTTGCCCATGATTGAGATGCTACATTTCTTTCCCTTTTATTTTTGGCAAATTAAGTCCCCTAAAAATACTTTATTAAAAATTAGTACAAATATATAAAACTTTAAGTTAACAATATAGTTTCTTTAATGATAAAACAAGACACAACCAGATAAATAATATTTATATAAATTTTTAAATAAAATAAATAGTCAAAAATTATACGAAAAGTCAATGGCACGGTATATCGTAGGACGGAAGGCGTAGCGAGTTCTGTCTATAATTCGAACTGGGACAAATAAATTGTACAGTTAAGCAGGACAGGAGGTAGCGTTCGGCAGGCGGAGCCAACGCGGCCGGCAAAACCAACGCGGAGGCGAATCAGGTGGCTCACAACCTAGCTAGAAGAGCTCGACAGTATGAGACATTGTATTTGGGTCGATGAGCCCCCTAGTTTTATTTTAGACTCGTTGATGAACAATGTAACTATCTTGGATGAATAAAGTTTAGCCGGTTTGCTTCCAAAAAAAAAAAAAAACGGCAGCCGTCGTCTCATGCCGGATTTTTCACATTTTGGTCCTTTTAAAAAATTTATTTCGCAAATAGACTCCTAGAAAAACTTATCCCATAAATGATCCTTTTTGGGGCGCCAGAGTGGCTGGCGCCGTCGTCCAGCCTCTCTGGCGCCGTCCTCCTGTCACCGTGGCACAAGCGAATCGACGTGGCAGGAGGAGGGCGCCAGCATGGGTGGCGCCACCCCAAGGAGGAGGGCGCCAGCACCCCCACCCCTCACCTCCATTCCTGTTTCTCTATATGGAGTTGCAACTTTTTTATTTTTGTTTTATTTTTCGAATGTTTTTTCACACTTAGGATCACGATACAACCAACCACAAAAAAAAAAATTAAATTCGAATGTAATATACTTATATACCACTTAGTTAGAAGTCTGGAAATAGCATACCACTTAGCCTACTTTGCACTTTCATCAAAGTTAGACCATAACTCCTTTAGGAAAAATCCTTTGATCAGCATGTTAAACATAATGTACTCCACCACTATATGAAATTACTTAATCTGATTCAAAATATAACCACATGAAATGATAGCCATAAGTTAAACAGTACATAGAGATGCATTTTTTATTTTTATTTTATTTTTTTGATATTTTTTTCACACTTGGGAGAATACAGGAACTAACTATAGAAAAAATAAAATCAAACGGACAAAATATGTGACTTGTAGAATTTTCCAAAGCTCTACCGAAAAGTTATTCGGGTGCCATTTATTAAAATAGGCGTAACTTTCTCATACGGACTCGGAATCAGACAAATAATATATCCACGGACATCTATAGAAAAAGTTACATCCGATTCATCTCTGCTTTACTGGGTTCGGCGATATTAGAATCTCCAAATTCCGCTTGCAAGATTGTGTTTTCGAGGAGAGAAGTTTTTCGGTAGAGCTTTGGAAAATTCCATAGGTCACATATTTCGTCCGTTTGAGTTTATTTTTTATATGGTTGGTTCTTGTGTGCTCTTAAGCGTGAAAAAAATATCAAAGAAATAAAATAAAAATAAAAAAGTTGCACATCTCTCTCCGCACTAGTTCGGAGAGAGATGAGAAGAAAGGAAAAAATTTACATGTCACATATTCCGTCCATTTGAGTTCATTTTTTCTATGGTTGGTTCTTGTGTGTTCCTAAGCGTGAAAAAAATATCAAAAAAATAAAAGAAAAATAAAAAAATTCTGAGGGGGGCGCCAGCCACTCTGGCGCCGCCCCCCCCCCCACCTCAGCATCGCCTCGCCACGTCGGCGGGGGGACGGCGCCAGAGAGGCTAAGGACCATTTGTGGGATAAGTTTTTTTAGGGGTCTATTTGCGAAATAAGTTCTTCAAAAGGACCAAAATGTGAAAAATCCAGTCGTCTCATGCCGTCTCCCGTGGATTGATACCATGACATGTGGGCCAGTGCGTTCGGGCCCCACCCCATGAGACGACACGTCAGGTGGGGAAAAAGGATGCGCGCGTCCGTGCTTGCTTGCAAGGCAGTGACACGTGGGCCCTCGTCTCGGCTGGTGGGCCCGCACCGTCAGCGTGTGGTGAACGGCTTTGCTTGATTCCCTTCGCTTGATTCCCTTCTCTCTTCCCGCTTCCCCCAACTAGAGTCGAGAGCAGGCGCTGCTTACCTACGTGAACCCTGCCTACGTGGACCGCTGACCGCCGTACAGCGTGGGGCCCACGGGTCAGAAGCGGACGTCCACCGTGCACCGATGCGGCAAACGTGCATAGGATCCGTTTCCGCGCGCTCCCCGCCTCGCTCTAGAGCGTGTGCGTGTGCGTGTGCGTGTGCGTGTGGGCTTTTTCTGTTTCTTTCATCCATCCATGGTTTTCATAATTACACCAACTCACCCCACTGATTTTATATATAATCTTACTTCTTGCTTCATTGGCTAATCAAAGTACTCTGTCTTCACTTTTACCATGAGCTAAGAATTTCTTTTTGTTCTGTTGGCATTTTCTAATTGCCATTTCTCTATACAAATGGATATATGATACGTTCTGTTAAATACATGTGTTAATAAATTTGTGGGAATTTAATCAAAAGATAAGCCATGGTTTAATTTCGTCAATATTAGATATATTCTTAACATTTTATATTCGTTTTTCAAGTAGTATGTGTGAAACACAATGTAAGATAGTGTTTCATGTAATCATATTTAGATGATGAGGGGATTGTATTTTATTATGTATCATTGCCCTACACATACTTCCTCAAGTGACATTGTCTAAATTTTCCCAAAATTACACATGTCCGTAGCTGTTGACTTGTGTAATTGATTCTAACTCGAATTTAGACTTGTTTTAATATATTGACGCCACAACGATAGTAGATATCTACATGGGGCTTGTTCCGTAGAACTAGCCGTTGAAGTGATGTAGCTGTTCGGCTAGACTGCGTTGCACATCTCAAAAGTTGCAAGTTGACATATCGAACATGGCAATGAGCTATGCCTTGCAACATACTTTGGCTAATGGTTGGCACTGTAATAGCGAGATATTTGATCTACAACATATTAGGCAAATAGAACTGTCCGAAAACAAGAAAAGTGGTGCGTTTTCATTGCAATTTTTTTTACCGTTGCAATACCCAACTAGAGTTAGACGTTGGCTCCTACTTCCTACGTTGTCTCTCTAACCAAATAAAGTAGGTAATTCTGTGAGCAATAAACGTAAATACTTGCAACAAATACGCGATGCGTAGCTGGCTTACTATGTTTGCTTAAGAAACAGATAATCACGCACCCCAACTCTACAAAACCAACACTGACCTGTGGACCCCCATACCCCCATATTAAGCGAGATCGACACGATCGGCCGCTGACTCATGAGCCCTACCACGGATAAGACCAGCGGCAACGTCTATCACAACAGGTACATTCAGATGTGAACATATTCCCGTATATACACGATAATCCTCAAACAAATACATACCAAAACTATCACGAGGTAAACTCGATAAATACCCCATGGATCCCAATGAATAAACCACACAAGCAAGAAGAAAGAGGGTGAAGGAGCAAGAAAGAGAGTTAGAGAGAGAGAGAGAAAAAAAAAAGAAAACGAGAGAGATAGAGAGAGAAGGAGAAGTTGTTGAGTTGTTTTCCCTCTCTCGTCCCCTTCCCTCCCTCCCCTCCTCTTCTCTCTTCCCCCCCTCTTTTCCCTCCTCTTCTTCGTCTCCAAGCGGCGCGCGCTCTCTCGCTTCCTCGCCGCCGTCTCGGACTCGGACTCGGGCGAGCGGCGCGGCGAAACCCTACCTCGCGCTCTCCTTCCATGGACGGATCCGCCGCCATCCCGCCCCGCCCCGCGCCGACCCCGCCCGCGCCCGCGCCCGCGCCGCCGCAGGTCTTCCTCCGCCGCTCCGTGCTCCCGCCGCCGCCGGCCCCGCACCACGCGCCTCCGCCCCCCGGAGCTCACGTCCACTACTTCCGCGCCGCCTCTCCCATCCCCATCTTCCGCGCCGCGGCCTCCTCTAGGCCCCCGAGGCCGCCCCCGCCGTCAACTACTACTGCTCCTCCTCCTCCCGCCGCCCCCGCGGTCACGCCTGCTCGCCCGCCTCCGCAGCAGCCTGCGGTCGCCGTGGCGGCGCCGCCTCCGGCTACGACTATGGCTACAGCTACCGAAGAGGTGGCTGCGCCCGCGACGGGGAATCCGATGGCCAACGCGGCGGTGAGTCAATGGAATGTCCCCCCCGAGTTAATCCGTCTACTCCTTGCCATTACTGTTTCAATCGATTGATGCTTGTATTAAGCTTTATTCTAGTGTTTGGTTGCATGATTCGATCATTCAATTTTGGATGTTATGGATTGGTAGATGTGTTCGGGGATGTTAATTTGGTTGGGACAACTTTAGGTTGGCACGAAGATGGCTTTAGTAGAAATTTTGGCATGCACGGCCGAATCGATTGAGCTCTGCCTGCTTCAAATCTTCCTTTGCGCAATGGTACTCTATTTAGTCTCAGTTTCAGGACCAATGGCAACAATGTAATGTTGCAGTCGACATCTGTAACCTGTAAGATCGATACGTGTAAATATGGTTTGGAAAAGACTGTGTTAGATTAAGTTCTGTCAGGTGCTTCTCATGTTCAAACTAATCTGCACTGTCCACTGCAGGCAACAAACTAATCTGCATCTGCAGTTGCTTTTATGTAAAGCTTACCAGGTTCTTCTACTTAGATCAGCTCTTTGGAACATGTTTGGTAGGAGTATGTATAAGCAAGTGATTTTTATGATGTGCTAGAATTTGGTTTGATAGCATATAATGTTTGGAGTAGATGGTTTCGACCTTTGGTACCTGGCCTTAGGAGTTAGGAGGTTGTCCTGGTACTAGGAGCTTATAGTACAAGTCAATCCCTACCTTTTGGTTGGAGAAATCTTGCAACTATGGTTCGTATTATGTTGGAATGAGGGTTTTATACTTGTAGTATTTGCATATTCTCTTTCACTCTTTTGAGGAGACCATTTTTCAGGCTCATGGATGTTATACTTGATCTTCATAATGGAGCGTAGCATTCCAAGATAGTTGCTGGATCAGTTACATTATGTTTGATAATTGACAATGTTGTGTTGTGAATGGTGCATATGTTTTAGGACAATGAGGAGAAAAATGAAAGAGAAACTGTACAGTCTGAAGTCGCCAAAGGAGAGACTGTGCAAGGGCCTGATAAAGAATGTACAACTGGGGCAGTAAAAGGCATCAAACGGCCTAGAAAACCAAAAGGTTTTAAAAAAGGTAGTCTTCGATCAAATGAAGGTGCGGTCCTGCTTATATTCTATCCACTTTACATAATGTGCATTGCTCTGATAATTTCATTGTAAAAGTTTCATACCAGCATTTGATTATCATCTGTTGTTCATTCTAATTTTCTTTTCAGGAGATGCTGGGCCTTCTTTATTTTCACCAAACAACTGTCGCTATGACAGCTCGCTAGGTAAAGTATGATGCATTTTTCCCAATGAAAAAAAATGCTTCATGTTTCTTATTAATTGTTACCCTTTTGCCAGGTCTTCTTACAAAGAAGTTCATCAACCTTCTTGAAGGAGCAGAAGATGGAACCCTTGATTTAAATAAAGCGGCTGAGACATTGGAGGTCTGGTTTAGTATTATCATTGAAAAAAATGCTTTCCACGCTTGTCAGACATTCAATCTTTTTAATTGTCTAAGAGTGAAGTGCCCTGATGTACCATATTTTAATAAATTTCTGTAGGTGCAAAAGAGGAGGATATATGATATAACAAATGTTTTAGAAGGTGTAGATTTAATCGAAAAGACACTGAAGAATATGATTCGTTGGAAGTAAGTGTAATTTGTTTATGTTTCTTAATGCATTCCACAAGTTAATTTTAGGTTTTTACTGACAAAATAAATACATTCAAAGGGGTTTTGATATGTCAAAGCCTAAGGAGAGAGAACGACAAATCTCAGCATTGAAGGTATGTACCGTTGTACTTTATGCTCTTCATTCTGTACATATTTTATGCTTTTAACTATCCTAAAGCTACACATAAGTAAATTATACACACATCATTATGAGTTCCATTCTTTTTCTTTAATCTTTATAGATAGAGGTAGATTGTTCTCATTTTACTTCTATTGTTTTTCAAGTCAGAAAGTGGACTAATTTAAATTGAACCATGAACTATCAGTAGGTTATGTGTTTGTACTAGAAATGGTGCCCTTCTTTTATTACATTAAGCTACTTCATGTATCACAACTGGGCATTAGGGCAGGCCTCTCCTGTATCGTTTCACTCAACTATTGGAGCATATGCCTAGGTATTAAAAGACTACTGTACTCATCCTTGTAACAAGGTGGTTGTATCATTTTACTACATGAAGACAGAATCAGTGATACATATTATCCCAATTGAACTAAATTGAACCAAGATAAAAATTATTTTGCTGCTTTTGAACCAATTATACTTTGGCTAACTTTTATTTTTCAATGACGTTAAGTAAAATAATATTGGTAACAGCTGTTGGAATTGAACTCGATCACCATGACTGTTACGGTACCATTTTATGTACCATCCAAGGAAACTATGGTTTATGTTTCCTGGTAATTTCTGATGCCATATCTGTATGAGTGCAGATTGTAGGATAAATTGACCATAACCAGTATTTTAATGGTAGAAAAATGTTTCCACAGTGGTTGGCTAGAGCGAAGTTTTAGTGGATCTGGCATGCTGGGGTATGCCTGTAAAAATAAAACGTAATAATTCAGTCCTAAGTCCATGATGAATCTTCTTCTTTATTTAGAGGCTTTCTTGAAGTTTCAAGTGCTGGCAATGCAACAAATCAACAAATCTATCCTCTGACAGTTCGCATGCCATTCCATTTGAATGTTAAGATTTTTGTCCTGCATTTGAAATTTCCTGTTGGATTTTGATATTCTGCAGGAAGAAATTGAGTCTCTTTATGATGAAGAGTCCAGGTTGGATGATGAAATAATGTAAGTACTTCCTGAAAGTAATACATATATCTGATTTCTCTTGTCTCGGTCCCTCTCTTTTGATAGATAATTGCTGATTCTGCAGGGAAGCACAAGAGAAACTGAATGCCCTTAGAGTCGATGAGGACAGAAGAAAGTAAGATTCCCATTTGCAATTATGGCAGTTTTTATATTTTATATAGTCAACTGAATCATTGTGTTTTTCTTTTTAGGTTGTTGTATGTTTCGAAGGAAGATATCAATGCGATTCCTCGCTTTCAGGTCAGGACTCTTCTGGTCTCTTGTTTATTTCTTCTTCCTGCAATTGTAAAGTTGTACCAACAAGTTCGTTGTTGATAGCAGGGATCCACTCTTATTGCAGTAAACGCTCCTCGAGGAACCTATATTGAAGTTCCAGACCCTAATTTGGTATGCGATCTTTAGCTACTTTTAGCTATGTGGACAGAGATGATGAATCTGTGTGGTGCGGTTGTTGACATCTTTCTTCCTTTACCAGGATATGGACATTTATAAGGATCTGGATAATCAAGAGAAGCACTACCAGATTGTATTTAGAAGTGCAATGGGTCCTGTTGATTGCTTTCTAATAAGGTAAAGTCTCACCAGCATGACTTTCTAGAATTCATTCTACCGGTCGGTCTTCTGTGCTAAACTGCTAATCATTTACTAAACTGTTATTTTCTCACCAGTAACCATCAGGAGACATTCAACGCAGACCAGCAGATGGCAGACAATTTGGATGCTGCGGTCACTAGTGGAAGTTCTCAAGCTCCGCAGCAGATGGATTATGTTCAGGCATCGGAAATTGGGGAGAGCAATGGTGTAAGAGAGCATACATCAGAGCCATCCAAAAGAGACGATCCAGTGCCTGGCATTGTGAAAATTGTACCATCAGATGATGTAAGAAAATTCCGTCTAAACCACATCAGAAATCAAATCATTCGATGTTGTTTGATATTAATTGTTATTCGTTATGCAGATTGCTGCTGATTACTGGCTCAGTTCTGACGCTGACGTTAGTATGACTGATACATGGGGCACTTAATTGATGGCTCTGCAGACTATTAGTCTCTTAGAGAAATAGCAATGACAAATACAATACAACAATTGCATTGGATGGAGGAGTTGGATCTGCTGTCCACCTTCAACTGAAGTCCTGCTTTGGTAACTGCAGAGATTTTCCCTGGTGCATGCTCTGTTCTCGTTAACCGGCAAATCACAGAGAATACAATTGTAGGCAGTAGATCTTGTAAATTGGCAGACCCATTTTAGTAGTTGGTGCTCAGCCACAAGCATACTTTAAGATAGGCTGCAGTAGGTTTCTGCTCTTGATTATATTAGCCTTCGAATAGAGGGACTGCGTGTGTGCATACCAAGTTAGAAGGCAACACAGTCCAGAAGAAGGCGATGCTTATCTGCTCTTCTCCCCTTGAAAGGGGGATTATTGTTGTACATTCTGGCTAGCAATCTGGAATGCTCAATTACTGATAGCATATCAATAAAGATTATTTTGTTTCCAGATCATGTTTGGGATTTATGTGCTTGCTAATTGAAAGGGTTACGGGGATGAATAGGCTAATTTGAAACCTAAGTAAAGGCTCCGCAAGATGTGAAATAAAGGAGAAGGCTCCTAAGCAAGCAACAGGAGCAGCTTGTTGAGCAGAGGAAGAGGAAGGGACCTCAGACGTCCCAGCCCCTGTGGAGATGCCCGCCCCGGTGAAGGACCAGCCCATGATGAAACATCAGGCTTGAGATGCAACTTGTGAGTCAACTGGGTGACTTTCTTAATCATCCTCATGAGACGAGGAGCATACACAAGCCCTTTCCGGTAGTTGAAAGAGGCTATCCTGATTTCCTTCCACACAAAGTAGAACATATGGAAGTGAGAGGGAGGAGGATCAATGAATGGATCTTGATGTTAATGTCGGCTAGAGTTGGGTGAATATGCATTTAAAACTTTTAAGGAAACTAGAAAAAATGCCCGTGCGTTGCAACGGTTGAGGATTATTTTAATCTTGTAATTGTTATATGGTTTAGCTAGGGTGAAATTCACCGTGTAAATTCGCTTGGATATTTTATTTTAGAAAACCATGAGATGCAGTTAGGAGTCTGACTTTTATCTCAAGTTAGCATGCAAGTTTTTTTAGAGAGATTTCTTATACTACTCCTTTTGTATTTCTAAAAGCAAACGAACTTAAAATTAGACTCAAATACGGATATGTATTTCTAAAAGCGAATAGACTTAAAAACCGACTTAAACACGGATGACGTACCAAAATATCGGCAAAAACACCTTCAATTTTTATAATAGTAGAGATAGATATATGGTTTAGTTAAGGTGAAATTCACTGTGTTAAATTCGCTTGGATATATATTTTGCTAGAAAATTATGTGCTGCAAATAGGAGTCCGATTATCTCAAGTTAGCATGCGAGTTTTTTAAAAAGATTTCTTATACGATTCCTTTTATATTTCTAAAAACGAACGAACTTAAAAACCGACTGAAATACGGATTTATGTTTCTAAAAGCGGACGAACATGAAAACTGACTCATACACGGATGACATACCAAAAGTACCGGCAAAAACATCTTCAATTTTTATAATAGGAGAGATACGAAAGCTGAACTTTTTGGATATTTCCAAATATTTTCGGATATTTCTGAATATTTTTTAGATATTCCGAAAATCTTAGATTTATAAGCAAACTAGCAAGGCAAGCAAAAGGGGTGTTGGCAACTTTTTGTGACAAGTCGACAAGCACGATCACAGCACCTAAACGCCTTGCGGTGATATGGAGTCGCCAACCACCTCGATTTAGCCAAAAGGCCAAATTAATATGGGTTTTGTAGAAAAAGGGCTAAACCGGCTAGCGGAGCCGATTTAGAGATCAAAATCAGCCTCTAGGCCGATTTAGATCGATATGGGGATAACTACCCGTCTCGTGGGCAAAATGAAAGGTTTCAGGACAAACCTAAAAAGAGGTGTCGCACTCTTGTAGCGGGGCGGATGATTTACGGCGTAAATCGGCAAAGATGGACTAAAATTAGGGTAAAGTAGAAAACATAGCTGAAAAGTAAAGATAAAAGAAAAAGCGATTCAAGTATATTGTGTGTTCGGGGATTACAATTGAACCAGCCTTGTCCCTTAAATAGGGATTGGTCTTGCCCTCTATAGGTCCTCCTCCACGTCAAACTCGGGATATAACCAAAGAAAACCCGAAACATGCCTTCCCAAGCAAGGAAACCTGAGACCCCGACGAAAACAAACTTGGGCTCAGACTCTGACGGTCTGATCGGCTACATACCTGTGGTCTGACCACTCACATACCTGCGGTCTGACCGACCATGTGAAGGAAACCCGGTACTTTCCAAACTTTGGCAATTTTCCCCTATTTCGTCCATAGGTACCAAATTTGGGTGTAAACACATGCTCCCCTGCCTTTTTGGTGAACATTGTGAACCTAAAAGCATAGAACATGTTATCTCAGCGCGATAATCCAATTATCGGCCGTAGGACTTTCTAAGCATCTTGCTAGATGCTCAGGAAGTATTTCTTTAAGTATTTCCCATTGATGGCTCTCTGAAAACGTTGTCCTGGAAGTGTCTCCATCTCTTTCAAAGTCTTCAAACGCTTATCGATGACGTCTTCAAGATTGCCTCCCATCAAGGTCTTGTAATCTTCAACCGACAAGTTGTCTTGCTTGATATATCGAAGAGAGCCAAGATTTACCTCAACCGGCAAAACGGCTTCTTGACCATAAACCAACTCAAAAGTAGTGACTTTAGCATCATCATGTTTAGATATTCTATGAGCCCATAATGCTTTGGAAAGCATCTCATGCCACTTCTTTGAGTGTTCTTCAATATTCTTTTTGACTAATTTCAACAATGTTTTATTACTCGACTCGGCTTATCCATCAGCCTGAGCGTAGCAAGGAGAAGAACTCAACAAGTTAATATCATAAGATTCGGCAAAACTTCTCATCTCCTTGGACATAAAAGAAGCTCTTTGATCCGTAGCCAATGTTTAAGGAATATCGAATCTATGAACAATATGCTTCAAGATAAAGTCAATCACCTCCGTGCAAGTAATATTCTTGAACGGCATGGCTTCGGCCCATTTGGTGAAATAATTCGTTGCAACTAAGACACTTTACATAGGTTGGCTTTTTGTGGGACGGAGTGAGTAGATTTGTAGACCCCCCCTCCCCCACCCCACCCACCAATTAAGACACTTTATATAGTAGAGTTGTTTGAATGCTAAATACTTGGACAGTTCTATTGCTAAAGGTTGCCAAACATTTATCAAGATATGACAAATTGTATATTTGGTATCATTGTTTTGTTCTCCATTTATATAGTTAGTGTAAAGGGAGTGATATGTGGCAATATTGAACTTCACACTTATAAGTTCATTGTAATATGCATCGTGGAAAAACATAATAAACTTGATTACGTTTAAATGATTACCATGGCTCCTAACGCAGGAACGTGCCTTGCGCGTGCATATATATGGTTAAAGTGCATTACAATTCAAACTTACACTGTCTGCAATTTAACAATATAAAATTCAGGAGCAAGCCTAGCTATGGTCAAAACTCAGAAGGCCCAGGTGGCTGCCTGGGCTCCTGGCTATCCGAGAGTACGACATTCAGCTGGATCAGCTTTGTGCGCGGCCCAGTTGCAAGCCAGACCCACCTGTACGTGTTTTTTTCCCGTATTCTCTGGAACTTCTCTCGACGTAAGTACGATGAAACGATAATGTTTTTGCGCCAAAGATATTTAACTATTTACCACTTTCAGTTGTGAAAATTAACTATTTGTCACTAGATTGATATGTCATATACACAAGTGGACCCATATGTCATTGAGATAGAGGTGGCAAATAGTTAAATATGCAATATACTCAGTATAATAATAATAATAATAATAATAATAATAATAATAATAATAATAATAATAATAGAATTCCAATATTTATAATATTAATAATAAAAGCCTGTGCAGTCTTATTGAACAATATTATTGGGGAATGCTAAATAGCTGTCGCATGATTTTTGATAGCTAAATCATTCATGTTTCGATATATTCAGAACCGTTGTTTCATACGTTGTAGCAAAATGTTTCACGGAGTGATTTAATTGTGTTTCAGCTTTTAAAAAGATGAAACATTTTCGATTTACTTGGTGAAACATTTACGGTGTTTCAGCTTTCTAAAAGATTGAAACATTTTCGATCTACTTAGTGAAACATTCGGAACCGTTGTTTCATATGTTGTAGTAAAATGTTTCATGTAGTGATTTAATTGTGTTCCAGCTTTTTTAAAAGATTGAAATATTTTCGATCTACTTGGTGAAACATTTTTGATCTATTTAGTGAAACACTGTATAATGAAAGACTAAAAAATCATGCAAATCCCATATAGACAGTCCCATATTATTTTAGCGTTGTACCCATCCTAACATTTCTGTGTCATGAAAGACTAAAAAATCATGTAAATCCTATATAGACAGTCCTATGTTATTTTAGCGTTGTACCCATCCTAACATTTCTGTGTCCGACATTGTTAATTATCCCATCTCCCCCAATGTCAAAGAAAATGGACGGAATCTTCGAGGAAAGGGAGCGGGACGGCGAGCCAAATGAAACAGACAAACGGACTGCTTTCCTTTATACTACCCCACTATTACCAGTCTAAACCAAAAGGAATCTGATCACTGGCTAAAGCTGACAGCATCCAAAAGATGTTTGACAAACTAATGTGATGAATATGATGAAAGGCCAACTTTTCTACTCCACGAACTAATGTGTGATGAATATGATGAAAAAAAAAACAACTTTTCACGTTGTCCTTGGGCTAAAAAGACACGCTTCTTTCACAAACTATAATACCCACCACAGCGATCATTGTTCTTATTTAACTCAGCCAGTGATCAAACTTTATTTTCTGTCAAAAAAAAGTGATCAAACTTCATTTTCTCTTCCACTATATATGTCGACACTTTCTTTTTTCTCTGTTTATGGCTGTGATTGCGGGTTTGGTTTAGATTGGACTGCACCAGTTACTACTATATATTTAGCAATAATAATGTGCTTGAAATGAAGAGCCAGTACTATGATTTTTTTTAACCAGCCGCCAACCCATTGCACGGTTTCTTTCGTTAACACAACATAAATATGAAACTATCAATATCTGTTGGATATTTCCTCCATCTCAAAATATAACGCGCAACCATATTTTTTTTTATATTTTATAATATACAGTGTGCATATATGCATATAATTAATTTGTTTTCTAAATCCTTCACCCTAAAAATCTCTAATTTCATTAGTTGCATGTGTTTTATCTATTGATATGATCCAAATAAAGAGGTCATACTAACTCTTTCTTATGTCTTTCCGTTAATGGTGGATGCGCCCTTATACTTGGGGTGGAGGACGCATTTTATAAATTAAAACAACTTGGTTAAAAGATACTTGCTACAACTAATATATTATATACTAAAAATCTATTAAACTTCATA